AGACCCTGGGAAATGCTCAAAGCAAAATTAGTTTTCACTCATTTTAAATGAAAAGGACCAGACAGCTTTTCTCCCATGAGAAAGGGAAGAAGAAGAGAACAATGAACAACTCAAATTTAGAGGACATCCGACTTTGTAGGGCGCAGCCTAAGCCTATGTCTACACACTAATCCTAATCAGTCAGGAAAGGCTGACTCCAAGCTGACTGGCATCAGGCCCATCTTATTTCTCACTAGGGCCAAGGCAGCATCCCCCTGGTGGGTCTCCTAACTTCCCGGGAGCCTCCTTCTCTGCTCACCCATCTCATACACTTCTAAGAGGACATGATTAGGTACTGAGCATAAGGACCACCCCGGGCTTTATCCATATCCAGTGTCTTACTCCCAGATATTCAATCAGTCTGGGCTAATATCTGGACAGCAATGATTTTTTTTGAGACAGAGCCTCAAGCTGTCCCCCTGGGTAGAGTGCCGTGGCATCAAAGCTCACAGCAACCTCCAACTCCTGGGCTCAAGCAAGTCTCCTGCCTCTGCCTCCCAAGTAGCTGAGACCACAGGTGCCCACCACACCACCTGGCTATTTTTTTTTGGTTGCAGCCATCATTGATGTTTGGTGGGCCTGGGCTGGATTCTAACCTGCCAGCTTAGGTGTATGTGGCTGGCGCCTTGGCCACTTGAGCCACAGGTGCCGAGCTGACAGCAATGATTTTTAAAAGCTTTCTAAATGATTCCGAAGCACAGCTGGGGTAGAGAATCAGGGGAATGGTGATTAGGAGGGGGCTCAACTGCTAGGTTAGAATCCTTGATCTGTTGCTTGATAACTGTGGAACTTTGGCAAAGTATTTAACCTCTCTGTGCCCTCATCTGGCAAAATAAGAATATCGGTAGCACCCATCTCATTGCGTTGTTGTGATTATGTGTGTATGCAAATATATATTTGCATATACATGCATGTATATGTGAGTGTGTATGTATACAGTTATCCCTCGGTATCAATGGAGGATTAGATCTTGGAACCTGTGGAGGATACCAAAATCCACAGATGCTCAGGTCCTCTGTATAAAATAGTGAAGTATTTGTATATAACCTGTGTATATTCTCCTGCATACTTTAAATCATCTCTAGGTTACTTATATCTAATACAATGTAGATACTGGGTAATACTGTATTGATTTTTCTATGTGTATTATTTTTATTGTATTATTATTTTATGTTTTTTTTCCAAATATTTTTGAACCATTTTGAATCTGCAAATGTGGAACCCCTGAATACAAAGGCTTTGTGTGTGTGCGTGTGTGTATGTGTGTGTGTGTGTGTGTGTAGCTTTCATAGCTCTCTGCTGCTTACTGATTTACATACTCCTTGCTCTGCTGTGTCAGCCATATCTTGCACCATTACCTTCGACATCTCTGCACTTTAGCCAAACAGGACCATGTTATTATTAAATCACAAGCCTGGGATCTCCCACCTTTGTCAGTGATTTTCCCAACCTTAAAAGGATGAGCGTCTGGTGTCACTGGGATGCTTCCTTGTGGGAGTTAAGCATGTGTTCTGGTGGAATGGTCACAGGCAGGACTATGTCTCACTGTAGGTTGTGAAGTTATGCCGGGAGTGCCTGCAGAAGCAGGAGCCAGTGTTTGCCGACACCAACCTCTACATGCTGCGGATACTGAGCATCGTTTCAGAGGTCCTCTCCTACCTTCAGGCCTTTGAAGAGGCCTCGGACTATGCCAGGAGGATGGTGGATGGCTACATGTAGGTGACGACCCTGGGTCTTGGTCTCCTGGAAGTGTGTCTATCCCAGAGGTGATAAATAGATGGCACCCATGCTGCTACCTGTCCCTACTTCTTCCTCCTGCACCCAGAGCAGGCATGAGTAAGCGATCATGGCCCTCCTTATGACTGAACCTCTTTAGCATGGTGCTCCAAATAACAGCTATCCAATAATCAGAGCCAGTACTGGAGTTGAAACCTATTTGTCATCCCTGGTCTTTCCCCAATCCTCCTGCCTATCTATTGTTTGAATGGCATCTTCTGGTTTTGATTTTCTTAAGGCTGAGTACCTGGCCCCCAACCCAACCCAATAATCAACACAGGAAATTAATTCTGTGAGTTTCTTCTTATTTTTTAAAGAAGTGTCAGTTGTCTTTGATCATAAATTGTAAAATGCAACTCCCTTGCCTTCCCTCTGCCACTGTCCTCTCTTGCCTTCTGTGACTACATTGTCATTTGAATTTGTATTTCTGGTCAAATGAATAAGTTGGCATAAGAAGGTTTGTTCTTTTT